CTCTCCATCAACCCCCACCTCTACCACCGCCAGCCCAGACAGACCCACGGACGCCCATCACATGCACACCCACACTCTCGAGCTCTCCCTCACACACACTCGCCCAAAGCAGAGCTACGCAGCACGTGCAGGCATGCCAACCACCCACGGGTCCCACAAACAGGCAGATGCACCCCAAATAGTGGCATCGCTGCACACCTGCTCAACCAAGACCCGACATAGAGACCACCCCCAGAGATCTGGCATGCACAGACCCCCAGGCTCTCCAAACAACCCAGATTTACAGCCTTGAGCCGCACACCCTGGAGTAGGGGGGACATTCAAGGCCATCCAGTCCAACCCCCACCAATGTTCCGATGGGGAAACTGAGGCCAGAAAAGGGAAGGGACTTGTCCGAGACTTCCCCACCCCCTGAAAGAAATAAAATTCATTCACCTCCCACATCCTGTGAGTGTACCCCCATTCTGCATTCTTTTTTTCTGCCAGACACCCAGCCTAGTTGTAGTTAAACGCCTCCCTTTCTCTAATCTCCTATATCTATTCAGTTACCCAGTCCCCCGCCTGGCCCCAATCCATTCCTTCCTTCCCATTCCCCCCACCACCTCCCCGCTCCAGCTACTCATTACCTCATGCCTAGAATATAAAAGAAAATAGCAATAACCTCACTGGTTTTCCTACATTCAATCTCTCCCTCCCACCCAGCCTGTCCATGGTGACCAGATTTAACTGATCAAAATTTGCATTATGTCATTATGTTGCTCAGGAACCTATAAAGGCTCCCTATTGCCTACAGGTTAAAGATCAAAACACCTTAGCAAAGCATCCAAGATCCTTCAGAATCCGGTACCAACTGCTTTTCTAGCCTTTTCCCTCATGGCTTCATCTCAAACCTTCAGGCCAGTTAGAATGTTTGTATCAGTTATTTTGCACTTGAAACCCACAAACCTATTTCGAATGCACCCTAAAATTCCTCAATCTCCCCCAAACAAGGAAATCTCTTCCCCTTTCCTCAGATCACAGACTCCAGAACCCTTCTCCAAGGCCAAGACTTCCGCTTTCTGACCATACATGGGGGTTCTTTCACTGTCCTTCCAAGCTGCAGATAGAGGCTCAGGCTCTGGCTCCCCCAAAAGCAGATGGCCGCCCCCAACTGGCCACCTTGGGAAGCACAGCCAGGAGGCAGTCCTGCTGAACTGAGGGTGAGCATCTAACCGCCTGGAGAGAGGAATAGAAGGACGCCAGATGACAAGGTTTATAAGCCCTTAAGCCTCTAAAGTTCTTACACCCAGATTGGGGGGAGGGTTCTCGGCCCTGCTTTCTGAGCTGCTGGCTCCCAACTTCAGATCCCTAATCCATGAGAGAACTCTTCTGCTATGAAATACAAAGACTTGGGGCTCCCAGGACACAGCAGAAGGGAAATTTGCCCATCGGACTCTGAGAAGCCACAAGGCCAGGGATAGTCCAGGTGGCAGGCCCAAGGTCCAGCTGGGATCAGGTTTCTATATGAATTTTTAATGCTTCCAGCCAGACCTGTCAGATGTTCCGAAACCTGAGCATCTCCTTTCATCTCTGTACACCATGCCCTTCCCATCCCCATTGCCCCTGGGGCAGGGGGAGGGAGGGCAGGCTTGGGACAGCTATCCAGTGGCCTCTGGAGAAATGGTTTAGGGGCAGTAGATGGGGGAATGACCTAATTATTCTTCCACTTATTAGCTGTGTGACCTTGGGTAAGTTACTTAACCTCTCTGAACATCAGTTTTTGGGAGTTTGTTTCCTTCTTTTTTTTTCTTTTGTAAGCTGGGGGCAATAGTGCCTGCCTAGAAGGAGTTGTGGGGAATAGCTACAATTGCCTGTGGAAAGGTGACCTGAATGTTTGTGGTTATTGTATTTCCTCAAGTTCTGCCTCCCTCCTCTGGTTTTCTTCCAACCCCAGAGGTGTCTCTGGCTCTTTCTTTGAAAGTGGGGACTTTGGTTGGCTCTGCCATCCCCCCTCAGGCCCAAACTGCCCACCTCAAGAGCCTTTGGCCTTCCTAGGAACCTCAGATGAGGAGGGGGCAGGGAGCTAAGAGAGTAGGCACGGCTGGGCGGGCGAGGAGGAGGAAGATAGATGGTGAGGCCAAAATAGAGGGGAGCGCAGTGGGCAGCCGCGAAAGGAAGGCAAGACCCTGCTCAGAGAGAGAAGAGCCAGGGCAGACTCATTCCTTCATCTCCCTTCCTCTCCCCTCCCTCCCCTCGGATCTGCTGAATCAGATTGCTAAGGGGGCCCTGGAATCTGCATTTTAACAAGTGGAGGTGGGTTATGGAGCACTCTTAAGTTTGAGAAACATCTCGAAGGTGGGGTGGTCTGTGGGGGGCAGACAGGAGAATGCAAAGGGAGAGAAGGTACACTTGGTGGCAGCCACAGACAAGGCTCCTGCGTGGGGAGGGTGATGCCAGCGACGGGGAAGGAAGGATGGGGGAGGCAAAGTGAGAGGACGCCAAGCCAGACGGAGGAGGTGGGGGCCCGCAGCCAAGGGGAGACTGGGACGCCCTCAGAACGGAAGCGGACGCTCGCGGGGTACGCCCCGCCCTCCCTTCGTGGCGACCTGAGACGCTGAACTGCTGGACCCGGGATGTGGAGGCCATGGAAGAGCCCCACGCCTCGTTTCTGGGGCGGAGGGTCAGAGCGGAAGCTTCTTATCCCCGGGGACCCGCGTGCTCCCCTGAGGTTCAAGGCAGGGAACCTGCCCAGGTGGCTACCCGGGCGTCCCTGCCCCGGCCCGCCGCCCTCCCCTCAGACCTCGGCTCGGGTCCAACCACGCTGACCTTCTCCCCCCCACTTCCCCCAGCCCCAGCCCATCTGCATAGAGTTGCAATTAACACGTTTTTCCTTAGCTATTTGCGATCCCAGAGCTCGCTCCCAGCCCCTGAGCCCGCTTCCCGCCGCCTCCTCCTCGCCCCTGGGACCGCGGCCCATTAACCCCTGCGACCCGGGCCGCTCCCCGCGGCCTCCACCACGCCAGCCTAGCCTGCGGCGGGGGGCCTGCGGGGCGAGGGGCGCGCCCCGGGGCGCAGGGCTGTGCCGCGAGGTCTGCCGCGGGCCAGAGGCCAGGGCTCTCCGGGGAAAGGCAGGCGCTTGCCCGCCCCTCTTTCTTGGAAGAGATGGGGAGGGGGGCTTCTCCTGGGAGACTCGGGGCGTCGAAATTCCTCGTTCCTCATCCTCCAGCCCCCGCACCCCTCCTCCTCTCCGCCACGCACCCTCTCCCCTCCGCAGCCATCTGTTCCACTCGGCAGCGCCGCGACAAACACGGCTCTAGCTCGCTTCCGCCCCTGCCCAGCCCCCTCCCCAAACTCCCCACGGGGAGACGCCCTTCTCCTGGGAGGCCAAAATTTCTGCCTCCGTCTCCCACCGGGTCCCAAGGCTCAGCTGGCCAGGGGAAAGCGTCGAGACCCCCTCCTTCCGTTGCGGGGGTCTGTGGGGCCGAAGGTAACGTTTCAAAGGGTGGGGGTCCGGGAAGGCGTAGGGCGAGATCAGAGGACGGACAGAGCAGGCCCAGGGTAGGGGTTCTGGAGGCCGAGGCGCGGGAAGGGCGGACGGGCGGGCGGCTAGGGTCGGGGTTACCTTCCTGGCTCGCCGCCCCCTCGCACCCCGTCCCAGGCTGTGCCGGCCGCAGCCACGCAGCGCCGCCTGCCGGGCACACCGCGCCTGGCGCGCACGCCCTGCCCCTCCGCCCGCCCTCACCCCGGCCGGTTCATCGCGTCGGTCAGCCTCCACCGGACTATTCGGACAGGAAGCAAGGGTGCGGGACAGAGAGCGCGGTGAGACCCGGGCAGGCCCTCTGGGGGCCGCCGAACCCGTGGCCGGGTGCTGTCCAACTCTCATCTCGTGTTTGCGAAAAGGCAGTGTTGTAAGTCAGGAGTCTGGGCTCGGAGCAGCCAGGTCTCCAGACCCCTCTAAACACGTTTTCTTATCTGAAAATGGATAGGTCAGTCTTTTATTGACTTCTCAAGAGAACCTAAGACAAAGGGGGAGAAAATGGCTCATCTGGAATGCTGTCTTCCAGCGCTAACCCGTGGAGGTCCTCCAGGGGGTTTTCTGGGGAGGTGGGGGAGCATGGGTAAGGCTTTTGAGGTCACTCTCAGCCCTGAGAGGGCAGCTGAGAACTGGGAAGAAGCCTGGGACTTCATTTCTGCCCAGCTGCCCAGGCAAGACCTGTGGCTTGGACTCTGCAGTCAGACTGCTGGGGTTCCAAGCTCAGCTCCACCACCTACCACTGTGTGCCCTTGGGCTTGTGCCTTAACCTTTCTGGGCTTGATTCCTCAATCTATGAAACAGGATGACAGTATTGATTTCTTGGGCTATAGTGCGGGTGAAATGAGATACCGGTGTAGAATGTACAGATCCTCCACCAATCTTAGTTGTCCGTCCATTCATTCTAGGACTCCTGCTAACCTCTAAGGCTTGTGTTCCCGGGGCATGCGCAGGTGTGGGGCTGGGATAAATCAGGTGTGTCTTTCTGGAAGGTCTCTTGTCTCAAAGATGGTGTCTTCTTTTGATGCAGATTATTTTAAAGCCTCACTTTATTTATTTACTTTAAAGCCGTACTTTAATATTCAAATTAAATGTAAATATAGAGTGAAGCTCAAAATTTACATGCAGTTTTAAGATAAAATAGGAGACTACAAAAAAGTGTTCCTTTCAGCAGGCCTGCGGATGCTTTGGTGGGAAAGTTTGAGTCACCCCTTAGCATTCTTTCTAAAGCATTCTCCCCTGATCCCCTGTATGGAGAAAGGCCAGCTTTCCAGATGTATCCTAAACCCTGGGAAGTGGGGGGGCAGAATCTGGACTCCCTCCAGGCACTAAAGGCAGGGCAGGGTTGGGATCAGGGAAGCGAGCCAGACAGCCAGAGGCAGTCAGGCCAGCATGCCACCCGGCCTATTAATGCCCAGCTGAGCTGGGCTAAGGAAGAGGGATGGGGGTGTGGCCCCCCCTCCACCCCTAAAGACAGGTGCACACCAGCCAGTCTCTCACTTCCCTTTTTATTTCCTCTAAGACCTGCAAGAAGCAGCACCAGGGAGGGAACCTGCCCTCCAGCCTCTAGAAGGGGCCTACCCGCCACACCCCACCCAGGGCATAGCCAGCACCTCAGGCCCTTCTTTCTGAGGGAAAGTTGTGTCACACACACGCACACAGGCATACACATGCATGCATGCACACTCTTGGCAGCTGGGACCTTAGAGGGTAGCCTGTTTGCTGATCCCACAAGCTGCATGGGGTACCAGGAGGCAGGCCCTAGGACGAAGGCCTGGAGAAAGGGCCTCCCACACCCTGGTGTCCTCCAATCCAAGGAAGAAGGAGGCCCAATCCCTCTAGCACAGAGACTAGCTTCGGTCAATGGAGCGTTGCTTTGGGGGATTTTTTTTTTGGAGGGTTTTTTTTTTTCCTTTTTCCAAGTCCTTACAAAAATAGAACTCTTGGTATTTATAAATCTATGGCCCCTGGCTCTATGAGAATGTTACAGGTAGAAAAGCCATATGGGGCATTCCCTTTGGTTGCTTAGGCCTTGGGTGCCTATTGTCCAGGTCTCTCTGCCTCAGAAGTCTATGTCGTTGCCTCAGGGCTGCTGAGCACCTTCAGGGGGCCCACCCCGTTGGCGATGTACTCCTTCTGGAGCCGGGCACGGTAGTAGAAGAGGTAGCAAGGTAGCAGAAATCCGAGGAGTGAGAACAGCAGGAGGCCCAGATTCACCTTTGGGGCAAGGAGAAAGAAAGAGAGTCAAGTAGGTACCCCTTTGCCCTCATCATCCTCAGGGACCCTCCTTAGCTTCCAAGAGAACTGACACAGGGGGCGGGCAGGGGAAGAGGCAGGGATATGCCCAGACACCCCGTGCCCAGCTCCGGAAGGACTACGCCACCCACAGGTCAAGCCCCAAAATGCCCGGGCATCTTTGCTGCAGGTCCTGGGCTAGAATGAAGAATACAGTCAGTATTGATTGTGTGCAATCACTGCTCCCCCAATATCTCATTTAATGCTCAGCAACCTTGCCAAGTGGCTGAGACGAGACTGCTTGGGTCTAATAAGGGGCAGAGCCTGGGCAGTGCCCACACTCTATGGCACTCTCTGGGTAGATATGAAGAAGGCCATAGCACTGTAGGAGACTGGGCTGGTCAGGCTGCTCCAGAAATGGGATCTTCTGGACTGGCAGCTCTGACCACTGGAGATATTGACCAATGGGACCGTGTTCAGGGTGGTGAGAGGAGGCTCTCAGGACCGGTTCAAGGAGCTGGGATGCACAGCCTGGAGGACAGGCAGCTTGGAAGGCCCAGGACAGTGGCCCTCACATGGGCTCTGACTCGGTTCACATCCCACCCTGCATTATTCACTGTGTGACTTCCGGTGAGTAATCACAACTATGTGTGTCTCCTTCTCAGGGCTGCTGTGACAAAGATTAAGTGAAAAAATGTACACGGCACGCTTAGAACATAGTGCATACTCAGTAAATGGTAGCAGTGATTTCATCCCAGTTCTTGTGGAAGAAGGGCCTACGTGTGGGTGGCCCCACAGGGCAGATGGAAGATCAGCTTCAGGGAGGCAGATGTCAGCTCAGTGTAAGGAAAAGCCTTTCTAACGACAGCGATGCTGCCTCCTGCAGGGGTGGGTGCCCCGCCACTGAGCACTGAGGGTATCTGAGCCAGGAGGGGAGGAACTCCCTTCCAGGGGTGCTGGAGAGATGATGCCCGCTCTGGGTGGAACTGGACAGACCAGTGGTTCCTGAACACAGGCCCAAAGATCAGGAATGGGCCACTTCACAAATCACCTCGGAGCTTATTTAAAACAGATTCCTAGGGTCAGGCTGAGAGATGCTGACTCAGTAGCCTGGGGAATCTGTATTTTTAACACTATGTGAGGGGTTTTGAGGGGCAGCCAGCTTGGAAACCCCCAGATTAGAGCCCTCCAAGGCATGTCTGGCTGAGAGAAGTGAGGGATTCCTTCACATACAGGCCCCCTGCCCCTGCCTTTCCCCCCGCCTGCCCCCGCGCCAACCCCTGCTCTCACCCAGAAGGGCTCTCCTTTCAGGGGTCCCACCATGGCCATGAAGAGTGGCTGCTGGAGCAGGGCGAACACAGCGCTGATGAGGGACTGCAGGCCTGTCAGCGTCCCGAAGTGGTTGGATGGGAACCTGTGCAGGAGAGGGGCAGAGCAGGGGTGTGTAGTCTCCAGCCCAGCCCAGCTCCCCTCGGGTCCCTTCCCCCAGACACTGCTTCCACTGGCCAGGCAGGGTAGTGCTTGAGAGTTCAGGCTCTCTGCATGGGGCAGGCAGTTCCTGGGGCCGGGTCTTGTGGAGGCTTTTGGCCCACGATAAAGTCTTTGGCTTGTACCCCGAGTGAGATAAGATGGGAAGCCACAGCGTGACGCGAAGAGACTTATGTCTAACAGGTGACTCCAGCCCTTGTGTTAAAAATAGACTGAGGGAGGATCAGGGCAGATGTGGGGACACCGCTTGGGGACTGCCACAATCCAGGCTAGGGATGACTGCGGCTCAGACGGAAGGGGACAAGAAGGGGTCGCATTCGGGATACATGGAAGGAGGAGCTGGCAGCACCGCAGATGGCTGAACGTGGAGCGTGAGGGAGAGCAGAATCAAGGAGGACTCCAAGGTTTTGGCTTCAGCAGATGGAGGGAAAGGAGCTGCCCCCTGCCAAGATGGCGGCAGTGAGGCTGAGATCAGGGAGGGGCGGTCACGGGGCCACCCTGTGCCATGCAGGATGCCCTCGATAACGGTCATGATTTTGTCATCGCTATTGTAATGTCCTATATTACTCCATCACCCATGCAGGCGAGAGTCACTACAGCGCCTGGCAGTGGAAACCAGAGACGTTTGCTGTTTCCTTTCTTCTTTCAACAAATATTTATCGAGCTCCTACTATGTGCCAAGCACTGTTCTAGGTGCTGAGATATGGTGATGAAACCAATCCAAATGGCTCTGAGGCCAGCCCAGGAGAGAAAGGGAACTTGGGGTGCTCAACATGAAGGAGGAAAATTATAAGGCAAACAAGACTATCTTTGGGAAATTTCTTGCGGGCAGGCATGGGGCACAGTGGAGGCCACTCGGGGTGCCATTCCAAACAGCAGACATAGGAACAAAGTGTCTTCAAGCCGAGTATTTCAGCTTCTTCTAAGGGAAGACTTTCCCATGGTAGAAGTCATACTGCAGGGGGGTGGGCTGCCTTTGAAGAAATGAGGGGCTCAGAGAGGGCAGTGGGATCCCCAACAAATGTGAGATGTCAGCATTCGAGGGAGGTGGGCGTGGGAGGGGTGCACTGGGGGATTTCTGGGCCCTTCTAACTCTGCTCTGGGATTCCTTGGTTATGGGGGCAAAACTCAGGAAGGCAGTTAGCCAAGGGAACTCACACTGCAGCGTAGAGGCTTCCACAGGCAGAGTGGAAGAAACCTCGGACCATGGTGTGCAGGATAAATGTCACGAACTGAAACCAAAGAGAGTGAAGAGGTTAAGAGAGAGTGTCGAGGCAGGAGGAGGGGTGGGGTGAACAGGGAACCGGGACTGCACTGAGCCCATCTGCATGTTCCTACCCGTCTCGCCAACCCAATCTACCGGAAACACTTCCTGGAGAACCTGGAAATAGTCAGACCCAGACTGGAGGATGGGAACCATGCATGCTTCTGGAAGGCAGGCGCTGGGTGAAACGTCCCTTTGGAGGAGTCCTGGGGGCAGGAAGAGGAGAAGGATGGAAACAGGTACCTGGAGGTGCAAGCTGTTGATGAGGCAGGTGATGCCAAAACCGACAAGCAGAAAGTTGGTCAGCGTGAAGGCATTGATGGCATTGGTGAGCTTCTGGATCTTGCAGTAGCGTGGTCTGAGGGACTTGGCAGCAACCCTATCCCTGAGCAGAAAAGGAAGTCACTGGCCACTGCCTCTACCTCTCCAGCAGCTCCCTGGTTCTCGGGCCCCTTGTGATGTGCCTCCACTGTTGGGGCAGCAGAAAAGGTAGAAAACCATTTCTCCAGCTGTGTTTCCCCCACCCAACCACACAAGCAGCAGCAAGAGGCTTTCTTAACATGCAGATTCGCAGGCCTAACCCCAGGCCTCAGAATCTCAGGGGCGAGGCCCTGGAATCTGCATGTCGACAAATGTCTCCACTGCCCCCTTTTCTCATGCACACTGCAGTGTGAGAACCAACGATGGGAAGGGAGGTAGAGAATGGAGAATTCTCACATTGTCTCTCACCAGAAGCCCCAGGAAGGTGTCTCTGCCCACCAGCCTGGACAAAAGCAGACGCCATTCTGAGGGACAGCAGCTTAGACCCTGACTGCTCCGCAAGCTTCTGTCTCTGCTATGGTCAAGGGCTCTGAAGCCAGCCCAGGGGAGAGGTCAGTAGGCTGGGGTGAGGGCGGGCCGCCCATCTGTCCTGGACAGAAGGTCCCTGCTGGTGGACCCTGGCCATCAGGGGCAGAGGGTGGCAGAGGAAGGCTGGGTGCCAGGGCCAGGCACTTTTGCAAGGAGGGAGGCCGCTGGATTGCTCCTTGGATGCCTTCTCTCCTATTCTCCTTCTCCCATCCTCTCAGGACAAACGGGGACTATTTGGATTAACACAAAAGGAACAAAAGCAGTCAGAAGACCTGGGTTCAAGGCCCAACGGTGGTCTCCAGCCAACAAAACGGCCCCCAATGACCCCTGCCTCCTGGTATTCCCTCCTTTGTGCAGTCTCCCCGCCCCCACTCTATACCAGGGTTGCTCTATGTGACCAACAGAATATTACAGAAGCAATGGTATGCTACCTCTAAGATTAGGTTATAGGGGACGCCGCGGCTTCTATCTTGGTCTCTCTCTCTCTCTTAGCTCTCTTGCTCAAGTGGAAGCCAGCTGCCGTGTCCTGGGCAGCCCTGGAGAGACCCATGTGGGAAGAACTGGACAGAAGCCAATTCTCCAACCTAGTCAAGGCTTTCAATGACTGCAGCCCTGGCCAACCTCCTGACTCCAGCTTTATGAGAGACCCTGAGCCTGTCTCTCCCAGATTCCTGACTCTCAGAAACTGTATGAGATGATAGATGTTTCTTGTTTAATGATGCCAAGCTTTGGGGTAATTTACTATACAGTAGTAGGTATCTAACATACCAACTCTATCTCTTCCTAGACTTAAGAAGGCTTTATTTTATTATTATTTTTTAATAAGTTATTTTCTTAAGAGATGGAGTCTTGCTATGCCGCTCAGGCTGGTCTCAAACTCCTGGGCTCAAGTGATCCTCCTGCCTCAGCCTCCCAAGTAGCTGGGACTGCAGGTGTGCATAGCCACACCTGGCATCTTCAGAAGGCTTTTCAATATACCCTTTATAACATGGGCTCTGGAGCCTACTATTAAAAGCTGTGCGATCTTGGGTAAGTTACTTAACTGTGTAACCTGTGTCTTACGTTTCTTAACTGTAAAATGAGAGTACTTCGTAAAAAAAAAAAAAATTTTTTTTGCTCGAGCCCAGGAGTTTAAGACCAGCCTGGGCAACATAGTGAGACTCCATCTCTACTAAAAAAAAAAAAAAAAAACGAAAAAACAAAATGTACCTACCTCAGAGAGCTGTTATAGGACTAAATGGACAATGCAAGGGGCCTAGCGCACAGGCAGCACTCAGTATTAGCTATTCTTATTACCAGGCAAGGCGTGGCCTTTCTTGGTCTCAGTTTCCTCATCTGTAAAATGGGTAGGCACCCCTGCTCTCCCAGAGCTCTCGGGAGAATGAAATATGATGCTGGTCATAAAAGCACAGAGAAAATGGAAAGCACTGTCTGACCACTTGCTGTCGCCATCCCTGTGCAGGTCACCTGGCATCTCTGAGGGCAGTGCCGTCAGCCGGGGCATCCACACAGTCCTTGATCCGCCAGTCCATGACGTAGCCGATGAAGGGGCAGGTGAGAAGGCACAACAACTGCATGGCCCCAAATATGGAGGTGTAGAACCCAACTGGGCAGGACGGCAAGGGAAATGAGGTCAGGAGCTGGCACAACGGAGACCAGAACAGCCTTCCTCTGAGCCCTTACTCTTAGATCCCCCAATGTACAGGGTCACCAGGGTGGGCCCAGGCCCACAGGAGTCCCACCCCCTGCAGGGTGGGCAAGGACAGGTAGCTGTGGGCCACAGCCCTGCTCTTCTCTCCCTACCTGTCTCTGCCACCTTTTCTCTCTGTTCATTCGTCTCTGTGGGGAGGGGGGAAGGCATGGTGAGAAGAGCTCAGCCAGGGTGACCCACCTGTGCCCCCCGCCCCCCAGGGGCCTCGGCAGCACCTCACCCTGCTCCTGGCCGCCGGTCACAACGTACTCCAGCATCTTGTTCATGGCGGCCATGTAGAAGATGACCCGCAGCTGGGTCATGCCCATGGTGAGGAGGCTCCACAGGAAAATGGGGGCACAGAGGCTCTTGCGGAAGGGGACAGACCCTGGGGAGACAGCAGGGGGCGCCCCTGAACCCCAGGCCCTCCACCGCCCTCTGATTGCCCCAGCTCATGCAGTTCTAGCAGGAGCTCTGTCACTATGTGACTTTGGGGAGGGACAGGTTTCTTCAAAGGTTCAGGTTCCGTTGCCCCCAGACTCTCCACAGAACATGTGCAGGTGACCACCTATGCTTCATGTGGTAATAACTCTATGGGCTACACACGTGGCATGTATTATCCTGTTCAATCAAATCTGACGACAACTCTATCGTTACCACCTTTTACAGATGAGGAAACTGCGGCTCAGAGAGTTATATGACTTGCCCAAGCTCACAGGGCCTGGAAGTGCAGGTCAGCCTGACTCGGGCTCACACCCTAACCACTCCGACCTCTGAGGATGGGCAGCGGGGTAACCACCCTCATAACCGCACACCATTCTGCACTTTACAAAGCTTCCACGTCCACCGTGTCATTCAATTGTCCCAACTAACTCCCCTGTTTGGTAGATGCTATTAGTGCCAGTCTAAGAAATGAGGAAATCAAGAGCAAGACCAGGTGATCTACCAAGTCGCATGGCCTGTAACTGGGGAGCAGGACTCAAACCCCCCCTCTGGTGACGGACAGTCCAGGGGTCTCAAGTATCTTGGGAAGTGCTCCATGCAGGTGGGTGCGGCTCCTCCTGCAGCCAGCAGGGGGCACTGGCCAGCCAGGTGCTGGAGGGGCCCTGCCAGGAGGCTGGCTGGCTTGGCTGCACCTGCTGCAGTAGGCTCACAGGTTGCAGAGGGCCCTGAGGAAACCAGCTGCCCCACAGGCCCCGAGACCCTGCCCCTATTCTGGAAGCTCCTCCCTCCCCCATCCTGAGAATCCAGCAGGGTACCCCTGAATCTGAACTTTCCAGCATTGTTTGAGCTTTGATTTCCCCACCTGTAATGGGGAGCATGCCCCACCTACATCATGGGGTGTTGTAAGGACTGAAAGAGAATAAATAAATACTCAGACATGAGTGCTCACCAAGCATGAGGACCCACCCTCCCATCCAAGGCTGGCACTTTGACCAGACACTCACTCTCAGGAAGTTTTTCTGAGGTGCCACGAACATCCTGGGATGAGATGAAGACGTCAGCCCCCTCCTCCAGGCTAGGGGCCTTCTGGCTCAGCCGCTGGCCCACGATGGTCACGTGGGTATAGAAGCGGTCACCTGTCACCTTGTGATCCAGGGCCAGCCCACTGAGCTTGATCTTCTTCCTGCCAGCAGGCAGGCCACAGAGTGTGGGAACCAGCCACGCAGAGCCCACCCTCAATGGTCTACCGCTAGGCCGCCTCCCCAGTCTGTCCCAGTGGTGCCAAGCACCCCTCTACCCAGCACCAACATGCCCAGTAATAAGCTCCCAAATGCTGGGCTCCTGTCTGTGTTGCTCAGAGCCTGGCCCAGAAACCAGCTTAGCACAGGTGCCCAGTAAATAAAGAGTCCATCAGCTGCTTTTCACCTGGGCTGTTCCCATGGAGGAGGCTGTACTAAAACCTCAGACAGGAGGCAGACAGCCTGATTCCCAATTTAGATTCACCCCCATTTCAATGGTATGACCTTCGGCAAGTCACTTTGTTTCCTGCACTTTTGTTATTAATGGAGTTAATAATAGAATCTACATCATACAGCTGTTTGAGAATGGTATGGGGGCTAAGTACAGTGCCTGGCATACAGTGGGCACTCAATAAATGTCAGCTATATGACTGTCACCCTATGTACTTGTTGTGGGGCATCCCCCCCTACCCCTGATGAACTGATACGCAGTTGGGAAAAGGTGGCATTCAGGTTGCCCCACAAAAGGTGGGTGCTTGATTATTTTGTATCCCCCCTTTTGGGTTCATATGGTATCTGGTGCTATTGCTGGGGTCCCTCCTACTCTGATCTCCTCCTCCAGACCCACAAAGGACAATAACAATAACATTGTAGCTACTATATTTTGATCACCTGTTATGTGCCAGCTCTATTACTTAAAAACACCTGTGGACAGGTAGGAACAGGCCTGTTGCACAGATGAGAAAGCAGAGCTCCGAGAGCTCAGGCAATTTGCCAGGCTGAGATCTCAGCTGAGGTCTCTCTGGCTCCAAAGCTGATTCTTTTTTTTTTTTTTTTTTTGAGACAGAGTCTCACTGTGTTGCCCAGGCTAGAGTGCCATGGCGTCAGCCTAGCTCACAGCAATCTCAAACTCCTGGGCTCAAGCGATCCTCTTGCCTCAGCCTCCCGAGTAGCTGGGACTACAGGCATGCGCCACCATGCCCGGCTAATTTTTTCTATATATTTTTAGTTGTCCAATTAATTTCTTTCTAATTTTAGTAGAGACGGGGTCTCGCTCTTGCTCAGGCTGGTTTCGAACTCCTGAGCTCCAATAATCCGCCTGCCTCGGCCTCCCAGAGAGCTAGGATTACAGGCGTGAGCCACTGCGCCTGGCCTCCAAAGCTGATTCTGTCCATCCTGTCACCACAGCTGGGGAATCCCTGCCCACGCCAGCCACTCACGTGTAATTGACTTCCTCAGGGGCAGGAAAGGCTTCGATAGGCCAGTTGAGGGCACAGTTCAGAAAGATAAGGCAGGCCAGGCCGGACCAGGTGAACATGATGACCACGAAGGCCACACCAGCATCATAGATCAGCTGTGGGAGAGGGGGCAGGCTCATGGGGGAGGCCATTTGGCCCTAGACGCCACTGAGGTAGAACCCAGGCCTCAGAGGCCTTAAAGGAAAGTCTCTTCTACCCAACTCCTTGTGCCCAATTTGCAGATGAGGAAATCAAGGCCAGAAGTAAAGAGTCAGATTCAGAAGACTCACCATTCCTTTTCCTTTTCTACCTAAGTCTTCCTAAAGAGGAGTGAAGTAGTCCCCACAGAGTGCTGAAGTGGCTGGCCACTTGCTCAAAATGTCATTGAAATCTCAATTATTATCTTAAAAAGGTATATGCATTTTGCCTATGACTCCAATACTCATGTTTATTTTCACACAAAAATGTCCACTTCATGTTATATGCAAAGGAAAAATTAACGCTCTAGGTTTACCAGGCCTCACCGCGTTTATCCTGCACCTTCCTGGCACGTTCCCTGGGGGAAAGGTAAACCCAGTCTGTGAAGCCTCATCTCGCCCTGCACAGGTGCTCCCAGGTGCCACAACTGGGTGCTTTGGGGAAGTGCAAGTGCTCTGCCTAAGGGCTCCTGAGCCCAGGACAGGTGGGTTCTGAATGGATTGGGATTCTGTGCAGATGTGTCAGCCCCTCTCATGGGAGAGGCTGGTGCACAGGGACGATGTCCTCCTCTTGTCCTCCCTGTACCCTCCACCTGGATGACTGATGTCTGCTCTCGCCTCAGGCTCCTGCCCAGAGCTCCACTCGCAGCCTGGGAAAAACTTCGCTCCTTCACAGCCTTGGGGTCCTTTCCTCCCTGTGGCAGGATGGAGTTTCAAATGGCCACAGCTCCAAATGTGTGGAGGTGAAATCTGGCTCCTCAAACCCTACTCCCTTAGTTGAAGACAAGGGAAAACTACTCACCCTCTATGCCTGCCCACCAGAAAAATTGATGGCCACCCTACCTATGCACACTCTCAAACTCCTTTGGAGAGTCTGAGCAAAAGTGCCCTCTAAATTAACAAATCAACTGCCCAAGGTGGAGTCTGAGGAGCACATCATGACCCAGTCAATGGGTGCTATGATATCATTTGACAGAGAAAGAAACAGAGGCCCCCACCTTGTCCAAGCTAAAACCAGGCCTCCTGACTCCGAGGTCCTCCAAGCTGACCTGTCCAGCATCTAGGCTGGCATGGACTAGGCTTTGTGACCCTGGAGCAAGTCACTCAGCTTCTTCGAAAGGAGTGGAAAAAGATGTGCCCCAACAGGTTGGAAGCGGCCAGAGAGTCGGGGACCTTGAATGCATGTGAAGGGGTTAGAATGGATTCTGCAGGTGAAACAAAACCACTGAAGGTTTTTGAGCAGGTGTGTGGGCCAGTTCTCCATCTAAGATCATTCTGGAAGTCACGGGAATGACAGATTAGAGACAGAAAAGATCAGAGACAGGGAGACCAGCCCAGGAGAGAGGAGGAAGGCCTTCACTGGGACACCAGCGTAGGAAAGAAGGAGGCTGAAGAAGCAGAGAAGTCAGACCCAGGGGGCAGCACCAGCCACTACTCACCTAGCCCCACCCAGTTCCTGTCAAGGCAAAATAAAACCCCGGGGACCTCACTGGCCCCGCAGGCAGCTCCATACCTTGATTCCCGGGAATGTGATGGCAGAAGAGGCGTAGGAGCCGAACATGAGGGCCATGACCGTGGAGCGCAGGTTCCCAAACATGTTGGGCAGCTGAGGGGCGAGAGTGGCGCCCATGAACAGGGGACACCCCGACACACACCCAGGGTTCCCAGCCCCGTTGTGGAAAATTGAGCTCCAGGAACAACAGCCCCCGGCAAAATCAACCTGGGAAACTGTGCTCTTTCCCCTCCTACAAACTCACGATGCACTTTCACATCTAAAAGGCTCCCAGGAGTGCCTTCAAAGGGAAATTTTGTTGATTTTGTTTAACCCCAGGGTTTTCCAAGTTTGTTGTTTAGGGAACCCCTTTATCATATGGCAGCTCTGAAGAACCCATGGAACAGGTATTTAAGAAAACACTGACCTAGTCCAACTCATTTTAGATGAGAAAATGGAGGCCCAGAGAGGGAAAGAAGTGAAGAACGATACTCAAGTTCACAGAGCATGTTAATGACCTTCTCTCCTATTGGGGCCATCCTAGCCCTAACGCAAGGCTGTGACCGTGGCTGACCCTGTAACAGTATGGTGCCTCTTAACCCTCTTGGTGGCCCCAAATGTCCCAGCCCACAGTTTCTGTTGGATCAGGACAGATCCTGGGGAGGGCCAGAGAGGCGACGGTGGGAATCAGGCAGGGAGCAGGGACAGGCCAGGTCTCCAGAGGAGGTGACTTTGACGCAGAGCTGGCCCAGAACCCCCATCAGTAGAGAATTAATTGATTGTATGTTCTGTCAACAGCATGAGCCAGGCCTTCAGGGGAAGAGAAGGCAAAGTCATGACGTCCTTTGTACACACCCCCCTCCGGCCCCACCATCCTCCCCAGGTCACCAGATCCCATAGCTGAGAAAGACCTTAGAAGCCACACAAAGCTGAACCCTCTCCATAGAGGGGGAAACTGAGGCTCTGAAGGGAGACCGCAATCAGCTCTGGGAAAGAAGGTGTTTAAACACAAGAGAACCCATTTGTCCAACTCCCACATGTGGCTCAGGAGAGGGAGCGGGGCCAGGTTGGGCCTCACTCGGGCAGAGGTTTCCCTGGCATCCCGGATCAGTGAGGCACGCTGCCAAGGACGCCAGAGAAGGCAGCCAGGGCCTGGGGGAGGCAGGGCCCCCTCCCCGCAAGGGTCCGCGGGGGCTGTCTCCGCCCAGCACCGCGGGCAGGGCGAGACCGGCGCTAACCCCAGGCTGTCGGCCACAGCGCCGCCGTCGCAGCACTGGACGCGGGGCCAGGCAGAGCACCGCTAGCTAGCGCGGCGGCCGGGGGCGGGGCCGGCCCGGGGGCGGGGCGGGGAGGGGGCGGGGCCGGGCCCTGCGATTGGCTGGAGATTACAGGCGGCCAGGAGACGGCGGGGAGGAGCCACCCGCCGAGACCCCAGGCAGCCAGGGCAGGGTCGGAGGTCAGGCCCCGCGCCCGGGGAGGAAAGGGATTTAGGGCAGCGAGCCAAGCTACACAGGGCGGAGAAGGGGCTGCGGAGCGGGGCGGGAGGAAGGGATCCACTTCCTTAGAGAGTTGTGAAATGTCCCCGGTTGGAATTAAAGGCAGCTGCTGGGGTAAGATGAAATTCAGCCAAAAACACCCAGTTTGGCTGTCAGGAGGCCCTCGTCCCAGATAAACAGCCCGCCCCAAGCCGGCCCAGCCAGGAACCTTCCCCTCCCCCCACCAACACACTCTACGCCTTTAACCTTTGTACTCACACACATAAACATACACACTTAGAGAAACACAGACACACGTGCAATAGGTCGAGCCGCGTGAAAAAGCCGTTTTTATAGGTCAAGCCCAGCCGGATATTAACAATTCCACGTAGTTCAACCTCATACACTCACAACTGCATGTGCGGTCTCAAGCCATCTGACGCGGACAGCCCACTCTCCCACAACGTGGCAAACGGACACACTCTCCCTCCCACTGACTATCAGGTTACTCAGTTTTATTTTCTTCCCAGAACTTAAGACTACTGACATAATTTATTAGTTTACCCCAAACGTAAGCTCCGGAAGGGGAGGACGTTGTCAAGTTGTTTGTGCTGTGGCCTCAGCCCCTAGAACAGAGCTCAGTAGACATACTGTGCAAGCACACACAAACACACACACACACACACACACACAGCCTGATCCCCACCCTTAGCTGCCACCTGCATGGTTTCACACGCGCCCCGTCCCCCCCACCGGAAGTCCTGCTGCCAAGACAGGCATGTCATACTCACGGTGAGTGAAGAGAACGTTAGGCAGATTCCACCAAAGCCATTCAGAGACAGTGCCAGGAATATCAATGGAGACAGAACTGGGAAGAAGAAGAGCGGCAGATGAGGGCATGAGGAGCAGTGGGAGGCCAAGGGCAGAGCTGGGGTGAACATCTGCCTTCATCCCACCCATTCTTTTCTTGTGGGGGCTCGAGAGGACAGCTCACCTTCAGTGTCCCAAGACGCCAGGGCCATGAGGGTGCAGGATGAAGCAAAGCAGGCACTGCAGGGGACACAGGGAAGGGGGAAGGCTTGACCTGCGAGCCCTCTGAGCACCCCTGTCCCTGCAGCACCGTCCCGGCCCTCCAGCTCCCCACAGCCCAGCCACCTCACCTGCCAACCAGCCGCACAGGCCGGGGGCCGAAGCGGTCCATGAAGACCCCCAGCGGCAAGGTGGTGGCGCTGAGCACGAAGGAGCCGATGGTGAAGCCCACATTGAGCATCTCGTCCTGCCGGTCACAGCTCAGCCACTGGCGCTGCTCGTCCTGGGTGCTGTTGGTGATGTTCTCAACTGAGGAGGGGGAAGGGGGGGACTTAGCACACGAAAGCAGTAGCCGCCGGGCACAGAAGAGAGCAGCCCTGGGGTCAGGGGCCTGGGTTCAAGTCCCATGCCAGGTGACCCTGGGGGTAGCCTAGAGTCATGTCTCCTGGAGGGGGGCTCGGTAAATAGCAGCAATTAGTATGTGACCCTGGGAGAGTCACACACACACCTGACCTGAGGCCTCCAACTAGTTCAAATGAGATTATGGACATCAAAGTGTTTACCAAGTTGTAATATTTATTCAATTTCCCAGCTCAGGGGATTTTATGGACCCCACAACAGAAAGCACCTCCAACTCTAGGGCAAAGGTGGTGAGTGGTGCTCTAATGGCCATACCAAGAATTTGCCTAGGTTTGTTTCCTTATGTCCGAGGAAATAGAAAAGAAAAAAAACTTAGAGGAAGCTTTCTTT